TTGGCATGTTTTCTCATTGACCCTAATTTCTTGGAGATACGGCTCCAACAACCGAATGTTTTTTTCTGATTCTCGGATCGTTGCGAAGGCAAACTTTTCCTGACAGTTTCTAGCGATGTGCCCTTCCTTTTTACAGTTGTAGCAGATTAGCGGCTTCCGTTTGTTTTCCGATTCAAATGCCTGTGAAACGATCGTTCAGCGCGGCAGACACAGCCGCTTCGGTGCGAAGCTTACCGAACGGGCCTTCAATGACAACCGTGGCGATTGGTAAGCGAACACTCTGCTCCTCGGCGACTTGCCTGATCCACGCGCATTCTCCTGTGAAGTCATCCGGAGACACCAATGAAGGATGGACAACGTCCATGGTTGCCGCTGAGTCTCTAAGTGCTTGGCATGTTTTCTCATTGACCCTAATTTCTTGGAGATACGGCTCCAACAACCGAATGTTTTTTTCTGATTCTCGGATCGTTGCGAAGGCAAACTTTTCCTGACAGTTTCTAGCGATGTGCCCTTCCTTTTTACAGTTGTAGCAGATTAGCGGCTTCCGTTTGTTTTCCGATTCAAATGCCTGTGTGGTAGAAACCTCACTCGATTTCTCCGCTTCTGTTTGCCCTTCCCCTACACTGTCCTTCGTAAGAGACGGGTCCTTTTTGAAATTACGGTGCGGAACGGGTTTCCGTTGATCAGGTTTCCTTGAAAAGCCCTCTTTCCTTTCATCCTTTTCAACGCGCACTGCCCTGCTATGCAACTTTCGGCGAGTATAATACTCCTCATATACTTAGAAATTTTGGCGCAACCTCGACTCACGCAAACACTCACACAAGCACACACACTTACACCAGAGCAACACACACGACACGATGTATAACCAACTAGCCCAACAACAAGTTTTAATAATACTCCTCAGCTAACTCAGCTGCCTTATTTAACTGTACTTCACCAAGTTTGTCCTGCAGCCAAAGTCTGACATTATCCTCGATGCAGCGGTAGAATTGCTCCAATGCAACGCATTCCACCACTTTATCGCGGTCGTCATACACACCTTCGCCCTTGAGCCATTCAATTAAATCGGCCTTAAGACGAAACGCGAAGTCAACGTGCGACTCATTCCCCTTTTCAGCATACCGGAACCTTTGCCTGAAAGCCTCGGGTGACAACTTATAACGTCTCAAGAGCACTTCCTTAACCTCGTCATAGCTCTCAAACGCTTCCCTCGACAAGCAAGTTATCGCGTCGGACACTTCGCCGGGAAGAAGAGCTAGCAGGTTCCGCGCCCAAAGAGACTGCTCCAAAGCATTTCGCTCACAGACGTGTTCAAACTTGACGAGATACTTCGCCATGTCCTCGCCTACTACGAACGGTGGCAGTTGGTCCCGAATTCTAAAACCGCTGACCTGAACTGTTGGAGAAGCTACGCTAGGCGCCTGCGAACACTGTAGGATTGCCAATTCTATTCGTTTCATCTCGAGGCGCTCCTGTCTCTCGGCCTCCTCGCGCTCGCGACGTTCGCGCCTTTCAGCTTCTTCACGTTCGCGAGCTTCTCGCCTTTCTTCACGTTCGCGAGCTTCGCGCCTTTCTTCACATTCGCGAGCTTCGCGCCTTTCAGCCTCCTCACGTTCGCGAGCTTCTACTTCTCGCCTTTCAGCCTCCTCACGGCGTGCTTTGATATCCACCCAGGCCTCATCGACTTCCTCAGCCGACACTCCCTCATCCTTCATGATCTCAAGGATCGCTTGCTTTCGTTTCGCACGGCCCAAAGTAATGCCGAGTTCCTCACAAATTTCGATGAGTTCCTTCACTTTAAGGTTCTCCATCGTTCATACTAGCCTCTTGCTGTTTGCCCCTGTTAAGAATCTACTTGCCGTACCCACTATAAGCCTACTAGCAAGACGCGCAAGCAATTTTTCACACTCCCGTGTTTACCCCCTCCGCATTAACTTTGGTTTCAAAGCGCTTCGACTTGGCTTGAAACGATCAAAGCTCACTTCAATGCTTCACACAGCCCTTCTCTAAACTACTACAACCTGAGCTAGAGTAGTCTGGTGAACTGAGGGGAAAACATCAGGCACTCACCGCATCGATGTCGCTGACGCCGGCCGATCCCGCAGCTGCCAACCACTGTTGCGAACGACGGACCGATCCCGCCGAAGCCACCACTGTTGCGAAAGACGGCGACGCCGACACGGCCCCGAAGGCGCCACTGCTTTCAACTCCGCCGGGAAGGTCACCAGCCGTTTGGTAGCGTATGTTTCTCAGCCCGCGACTGCTTCTGCGCAGAGCTGATAAGACGAGCAGACGAGACGACGGTGAGTTAAACAAGGTTTATGTACAGCATATATACAGAGGCGTTACAATTTCGGCACTGGGGCCGACAGAGACTCGAAGAACCGAGCTCTCCTCTCTAACACATAGGTCAGCTTTTCGCCTAAGACCGCTGACTCACACACATGTCGGCTCTCCGACATGGGGACTCCTCTCTCTCGTAGGACTGCCGATCGCGACGCGCCGCAGGGCTTCTTTTATTTACACCGGGTCCAACCAAAATGTCCAATCAGAAGCGCCGATGGTCGTCAGGGCAGATTCTTCCAATGGGGTTGCCGCGCCATGCGTCAGACCACCAGACACGAGAACGCCGGCTCGCTGTCACGTGCGCCGCTGACTCAATGCACGTGGGCGAGAGAGGCGCCGCGCGTGTTCACGCCGTTGAGATGTTCGCGTCAGGCGGACTGCGGGCTGGCCTTGACCCAGATTGCCTTTTTCCGAGGCACGGACGTTTGACGGGGACTCGCTGGCATAACAGAACTGCCCGCCTCTGTGGCGCGGGACCGGGACGAAGGCGTTGGTCATACAGCTGGTCAGGCGCGAATGAGTCTCGGCATGGCCACGAAGTTCTAGCTTCGCTAACGTCCGTCGCACATACCGATGGTGGCAGAGGAGCGAACGGCGCCGGGTAGTAGGATGAACAGGGTAGGCGGATGATGGATGGTGTCGTCGACCAGCATGGGTTGTCGCTGTAGCTCTTCGCGCACTATTGCCCAAATAGTGGCGGCAGGGTCGGCTGGCGGGCTCACGTCGACGCTGGCGACCGTTGTTACATTTGCCAGCCTACCAAATTTCGGGGCAATACGACGGGTCTTCAGCTTCTCAAAAGTACGGCAGGGACGTTGGACGGCGGAGACTGAGGGGAAGTCTTTCATGCCTATCGAAAAATTGTGGACGTCCTCTGCTATACCCTTCAGGAGGTGTCCGACCATGTCCTCTTCAGACATATACGGGTCTATGATCTTGCAGAGCATCAGAACCTCCTCTATTGTAGGTGGTACACGTTGCTGCAAGAGTCTGAGCTCTTTGAGCCAACGTGTGCTCCACGCTTTTCTTTTTTCGAATCAGAGTGGCCGGAGCACTTATTCAGTTCTTCAGCGAAATGATCCCACGTTGTTAATGAATCTTCGTGGTTTTCGTACCACATCAAGCATCAAGGTGGTTTCCGTGAGAAACAGCGTGACAGTCCCCAGTTGTTCGGTGGGATCCCAGCCGTTGTACCGGCTCACTCTTTTGTAGTGTGTCAGCCACGCATCCACATCTTCCCCTGCTCTTCCCGCGAATGGGCGGGGTTCCATATAGCGATACCGAGGTGCAGCCGGCACTGTGCGTGGTTGAGAAGACGTGACCTTTGCTCTCCGCCATGACGGTTGTTGTCGGTGGCAGACCGGCAAGACGACGGCTCCAGCGAAGTTCAAACAGCTGTGGATCCGTGGTTCGTCGACGTGCTGTACGCCGCACCTCCACCATTCTGCTACGTTTAAGGATTGGGTTTATTCCGCCGGTAGACTCAAAGGTGTCGTGCACCGGAGGCCTATCTCTTTGCTTTGCTTTGCTTTGCTTTCATAGGTACATGGCACGTACCCATTTTGGGGGATTGGCCAAGAATGCAACGTAGAGACTGTTAAATGTTATTTTAGGTAAGCTATAAAATTTAAAACCAAAAATAAATGAAATGGCAATAATACGTGAAATACTCAATTTAACCAGAAGTAATATGCTTTTGAGCCTGTATCTCAGACTGCCGTAAGAACCTGACGGGAATAATTTTGAAAACTTAAGTTTTAAATTAACGAAATAACGAAGAACTTTAAATGCCAGATTAAAATGGCACTCGTTCAGTAGTTATAATGAAATCACACACGGCATCAAAGGCATCTTTGTCGCAGTATTCCAAACCTGATGCACCGAAGTTTAAACATTTTCCTCCGATAAGGTCAAGCCTATTTTTGTAAAATCGGTAATTAGATGTCGAGTTCTTATAAGAGAATATCTTGCACATGACAAAAAGTAATGTGCGATATTTTCCAGTTCTCCGCAGAATTGGCAGAGGTGTGATATCGTCAGACCAGCCCTGTACCAGTAAAAGTTCAATGGGGGAACACGAGAATCTCGCCTGCCGAACGTCCTCTTCTCTAATATCCCTGTTCCCCGCTTCCCAGAGGCTCATACCCAAATCACATATGCAGTAACAGTATATACGGAAAAACAACAGAAAAAAAAATAAAAGCATGGCCTCTATCTGTTTATCGGCAAAAGAATTATCCTTTTTTGGAAGAGAGCGTGTAACCATTCCTTGAAAGAAACCTTGTCATGCTTTTATTTTTGTTGTTGTTGTTTTTCAGTATATATTTTCTTTCGTGTTAATCAAAATTCAGTTGCTAGTCAGTGCTTGTTTGTGTCTTTTCTTTAGTATCCCCGTCTTGACGATAGCTATAGCGCGATAACAGAACGACGACAAAGAGATAAGAAGGATACGAGCGCTAACTTCCAACTTAGTTTATTGCGCAGAGCGCGAAAACATATAGACAGTAAACCATGTGACAAAAACCATGTGGCACAAAGAGCAATACATGAGCAAGGAAAAAGAACAACAACAAAATCACAGAAAAAGGCAAAGGAAAGTCTATAAGGAAACGAAACAGAAATGTAAATGTAATATAACTACTTGCGCGCACCGAAACCTTCGAGGAACCTTAGTTCCTTCTTGTCTCTTTGTCGTCGTTCTGCTATCGTCATGTCATACCAACTAGCCCAAGCTGCCACACTTCCCCGTCTTGAGTTCGCACTGTACGTACTTCATCATGCAAAACCAACTATAGCCCAAAGTCTCACTCTTCCTCTTCATATTTCTCTCTTTCTTATTTAATCCCGCGGTGTTTGAAAAACTGCTCTGCAGGAGCGAGTTTTCGGGGGTCTCCCGGTATACGCGTTCCCTTGTTGTTGTTGTTGTTCTCCTATTGTTAGTGGCACATACCCACTGTGGGGGATTGGCCAAGAATCGAGTGGTTTTAAAAATTACTGTTCAGATTTGGAATAATTGAGGTATAACAGAAAAATTACCGATAGCCTAGGAAAGTGTGGTGCTTAATGTAATGCATACAAAAATTTACATAAACGAATTTATTAATAGAATAGAGCAATAATCTGATTTTATACGTATATAACTATGTGGACATGTTAGGATAATGAAACTGGTTAATTAATCAACCTATTAGTTTCATCATTATAGTCCCGGACGGCCGCGCATATATACTGTCGCATTAGAGAAACCAGAAATGGAATCTCCAAAAGACAAAATGACAGGCACAGATAAGTCCATAGCAATACCACGTAAAGGTATTTCTAAAAGGGTTTTTTGTAATGTGTTAAACCGCCTGCAGGTCAAAAAAAAAAATGGTCTATTGTTTCCAGTTCATCACAGAATGCGCACAGTGGCGAAGGTGCCTGAGCAGACCTGTGTTTATAGAAATTTAGATTTGGTACCCGGCAACGCAGCCTTGTGATAGCTACTTCTTGTTTTCGAGTGCGGCAAAAGTCTCTTCGCCAGGGGTATAGTAAAGGGCGATATTCTGTAGAGTTTGTTAGGGCTGAACCTTTAAAGACTTGTGTAAGCGTACGTCTGCGGAATCGAGCAGCAGTCACATAAGCGGATGATGGACAGAGCGGTAGAATTGGTTCGCTGATTGACGACTTGGCTAAGGAATCGGCTATTTCATTCAGAAACAAACCCTTATGTCCAGGCACCCAAACTAATCGTACTTTTCTCAAATGCGCAGGTACTAGTGCATGGAACGCCTTTGTTACTTGATTATCAGCACCAACAGAAAGTGCCGCACAGAGAGATAGGGAATCTGTTATTATGACAGCTGATGTAATTGCTGTATCTAACTTGCGTAAGGCGAGCACTACTGCCAGAAACTCAGCCACAAAAACGGGTATGAAATCGGGTAGTCGAAGGGAATACATCCAATTTAAAATCGGGCTGAAAATACCAACCCCTGACTTTTCGTCATATTGCGATGCGTCTTTAGCAATAATAACGTTCGTTGTAATACGGTGCAGGGGATCTTGTAGTAAACCATCCAAAATATTATGGGGAAGTAATTTGGCATCATTAGGAAAAATGTCGTTGAATAGAATTTCCACCGGGGCTGAATTATCACGACTCGGCATGATGTCGCATATGCGTACGTTTAGAGGCTCAAGTAAATTTTGCACAAATATAATTTGTGGGGTGTGAAATCGCGGCCATCTAGCACCAAAAAATGGTTCCGGGGTGTAAATAAAGGCTATTTTTGAATGTCGTAATGGTGACTCATAAATTCCTAAGAATGTCTGAACAGTCAGAAGGCGAATTCTACAAGAAAGCGGAGGGACCCTCGATTCGAGATACAACACATTGTTAGCAACTGTTCCGGGAAGGGCAAGGCATAAGCGCAAAGCTTCTCTTCTTAGAAGAATTAGAGGCCGCAACTTGTAAGCTGGAACTCCAGAGAAAAGTACACAACCAAATTCCAAAATGGGACGAACGTACATGCGATATATCATTACCAATGTGTCTCATCTCATATCTATGCGGTAGTTGCTTAGCCTACGTAATATGCCGCTGGCCCGCACACCTCTTCCGGCGATATATTCGATATGAGGTCGCCAGTTAAGCGATGTGTGATAAAGTGCTCCAAGGTATTTAACAGATTCCGCCTGCGGTATATCCTCATGGTGGTAAGACACAGGGTGTTGCAGCGGGAAAACAAGGAGGGCACATTTACTCGGGTTAAGCAGAAAGCAGTTGCCATCGAGCCAGCTCTCCAATATATTAAGGTAAGTCTGCAGCAGGGGCGGCGCCATGGGGGGGGGGGGGGGCAAGGGTGGGCTGGAGCCCCCCCAAAATTCTCGCCTGCCTCCCCCCCCCCTATGCCCACCCAAGTGCCCGGAAGCATATATTGAAAACCTAGTAGGAGCAGAGCTAGCTTGCCCCCCCCCCCCCCCCGGAGGAACTCACTTTTCGTGGTTGCCCCCCCCCAGTAAAAACATCCTGGCGCCGCCTCTGGTCTGCAGCCGTTCGTATAAGGTATAAGGTCTTCCCTTGTCTCCCCCGCAACCTTGACCGCGACGCGAGTCCGTGGAGGGGAGTCCGAGGCGCGCGTGCTCCCGTCCGCACGTGCCCGACACGTGACGTCGGTGGTCCCCCCCTTCTGCAGAGCAGTTCTCTGTTCTCTGCAGAAGGGGAGTCTCTCCAGCGTACGATACGTGGTTCGAGGTGACCAACAACAACTTATCTTGGGGAAGACGACTGGTGTTCCCAGCGCCTCCTCCTTCGGCGGCCGGAGTCGCACGATCACTGGCCTTCAACTTTCGCGAAACAGGTTTGCGTGAGCAGCAACTGTTGCTTCCCAGCGACGCAGCCAGAGGGAGACGAGGCTGACCAAAGGTGGTGTTGGGCTGACAGGGTTTGGCGTATCAGCCGAGGGGGGGGGGGGGCAAGGGGGGCGCGAGTTTTCTTACTGTAAAAAGTGGGGGGGGGGCGCAACTTTTGACAGTGGTTACTCTTCCCTGCACGCTGGGGAAACCAACAAGTAAGGCAAAGTTTTCGTCACAATAGTAATCACTCAATTATGTTCTTACGGGAGACTGAAAATGGTAGGAGGCAATGTTACAACATAGGGAAATTTCGCCAACATTTCCGCTTTGACGATTTTCCTTGTAGGCTCTTTGGGGTGCGGGTCGCCTATGCGACGCTTTCGCGTCTTGTGCAGAGCAGGCAAGCGCTGAACAGGGGTCCCATATTATTACATCCCTTGTTTATGCTTTCATTCCACTGCGACTTGTTGACGTCGTTATGGATGGGAACGAGCAAACTTTTACGGCAAAAGCCTTTGTTATAAAATCACAACTCGGGTCACGCGCAGTTGTCCACGACCGCCGTCGGTGTCCGTAACCACATAGCGCGAAATTGAAAAAAAAACAAAAAAACGTAGCACCAAAGACACAACGGGGCTTCAAACCCATGTCTGCTGGGTGCCAGCCCAGTATTCTACCACTGAGCTACGCTGGTGCTTTCGACTTGTTGGCAAACTTGCCTTCGGCAGGCTTGATGTCGGGAAAGCAATCGCGTCAATACGACTCATAAAGCGCTTTCAAAACAGCGAAAGAACAACCAGTCGTCGCACAACGCGAATAGCGTAAACAGTGGGCCGTCCAATGCTCCAACCAATTACAAAAGCTTGTTCTTGTTCTCCTGTTAACTGTGGCGCATACCCACTTCAGCCATAATTCCTGATTGATTTATATGTGGAGTTTAACGTCCCAAAACCACCATATGATAGCCATAATTCCTCATCGTCGTCAGCCACTGTATGAATTATTGGCAGAAAATTCCTTGCAAGTGTTTAGTGGATACCACGCTTCTCAGACTAATGACGAAAAACAGCATAGCGAATGCCGGCCTACTACCCAAAAACATTTGTTATAATGACATAGTGGGTATGAAGCAAGTGTGCTTGCAGTAGTTACCCAATGAGTGTTTTGAAAATGCTCTGAAAGGCCGCTCTTCCAGCTTTCGCAGTCACTGTGCTGACACTTCCGCACAGGCCTGGTGTTTTTTTTTTTTTTTTTTACGACCGGTCAAAGCATTCGCTGCTTCCGGAAAATAATCTTCTTCGAAAAGGATATATCGTCACCCCTGCTCTGTCGAAGCTGTTAGGAGGCGATGAGTGTGACGAATCGTTTTTGATGTTTAAGTTTTTCCGTATTAAAACGCGAAAATTTGTGTCTGCTTTAGTCTCTGATAAACCTTATCAGCTTTGCTTATGGTAACTTGGAGCCATAGCGGCAGCTTGCGAAGTAGCCACGAATAAAGCAGTGAACTCGAGCTCACTAGGAAGCTCAGCTTTTAGGCTTGCCCCACGACTTAAGCCTGCGGACCAAGAAGAAAGTGAAAGACCATGGTTTTGAGCACTATGTAGGCTTAGTTAAGAGTCGGGCTAGTGCATTCTCACTCAACTTCAATTGTCCTTTACAGCTCAAAATACAACTAAGACTGCAAAGAAGCACACACGTGCCGCGCTGCTTATTTCTCTCTATTCCTCTTTTTTCTCAGCAAGTATGAGCTCACAGAGATGTATACGCGCACAAACTACTAAACACCGCTATGTTGCAAGTGGGAATATTTTATTATACTCCTAATCCATCTCGCCAACTGCTATAAGTAGCCGCTGCTTATGTGATTGGCAGCTAGCCTACTTGAATTACATTTAGAAGGAGATGCTTTCCGGCTTCTTCGGGTCATGTAACATGCAGGCGATTTTGAGGCACACAGAAAATTTTAAATGCCGAAGAACCAATGACAAACAATATGCCGTATTGAAAATAGCTAATTCTCTCATTATTTACGTGGTCGTGCATTAGTGGTCATTACGCGAAGGACCATTTTCGCGTCATTTGTTGCCTCGCGTAACCAGCTGGTGCTGTGTGCATGACAAAGACTGTTTACACCAATCATACACAGCTAACGACCATTTAGAAAGGAAGCAACGGGGGATACTTTAACGTTATAATAGTCCACGTTTTGTTCTTTCACAGGAAAACTTTGTTTAGCCCGTTTGTAATGGCGTATTTATGCAGGTGCATGGGGGCCCTTTGAGAAATGTTAATACAAATACAATGAGTGTAAACAATTTATTACGCCCCTATGTTAATAACAGTGATATAACAATTGCATTATTATTAATATTGCACGCTCCAGAAAGAGTGTTCAGACTATTAGCAAACAAGGCAAATTATAATACACACAAGCCTGAACATATGCAAGAAAGTGAAGTACTTATTACGAAAAAAATATAACAGAAATCATTCGTTGAAATAACATCGATTCCTCCGTCATGGGAATCAGCCTATAACACGAAAGTAAAACGCGCCTTTGCAAGCGCAATTAAATATTTACTGCACATTGACAAGGAAGGGTTTGCCGAATGTATGTTCTGGGGTTTGGCAGCTATAGCCCCGTTCAACGCGGAGATATCTTCGTTGACGCTTGGTACATCCATGATACATTTATGAAACAAAGCATTGTGGTATCTGTAGATGTTAACCGCCAAAGCACAATCAGAGAAAGAGGCGTGATAGCAACATGAGCGTCGCATACTAAACGCGGAAAATGGAGCTAAGGGTGCCATTTCTCGGCCTGTCAAAGTGTGATTGAACTTCGATGTATCTAAAAAAGCGTGAAAGTGCGTCGTGGTGTCACCTCCTCAGTGTATGCAAATTCATATAAAAGTGCGAGCACGTCCACGAAGTTCTCTCTCTCTCTCTCTCTCTCTCTCTCTCTCTCTCTATATATATATATATATATATATATATATATATATATATATATATATATATATATATATATATATAATATATATATATATATATATATATATATATATATACACGACGAAGGCCGTGCCACGGCCGAAACGTTAGTAAATACAATCCTTTTCTTATGTGCTATCTGCAAGTTAACTCAATATATATATATATATATATATATATATATATATATATATATATATATATATATATATATATATATATATATATATATATATATATATATATATATATATATATATATATAGTGAGGTAGGAGGTAGGTTTGTCCCCCCCCCCGCCCACTCGCGAAAGAGTTGGTACGCCACTGCGGGTATATACAACGACGCAGCACGGCTCCAAGTAGACAGCGTGGCTTCCTTCACTTTCTTTTGTCCCAGCCTTCCGAGACACTGACTGCCATGCCTATACGTCACTCCCCGTCCCCGATCCCTCTTGTAATCGGTTGCGCCGATTAAATCGCGCGCAGCTCTTGTGCCTTGGCTTTCTCGGTCGGCTGCGCGTTGCGTTAATTCGGGCGCGTGTCGGAGGAGGAGAGTCTAATGAGTATAATTTTCAGTTTTCCCCCCTGTCTTCTCTTCCGTTTACCTCACCTGGCCCTTTTATTCCAATTACCCCATCCCTGTGCCGACCTGTTGAGGTGTCGTCGTAAAGATAGACAGTTACGGGCGGCACTTTTCTCTTCTTTTCCTTTTAATAACCACTTAGATGTGTATATTTGCTTTCTCTTTAGACGAGGAGGCTGCCTGCTTGATTTCTTCGATGTATCACCCTCGCCGGACAAGTTTGCGTCGAACCCTTTGACTGAGCCGTACAGAAATGTGGAATAAGGAGGGTCGTGGGGAGGGGTGGCCGGCTATCTGCCTTTGTTCCCCTCTCCCTTTGCGTGGCTTGGGAGAAGTTCCTGAGAAGTGTCACCAATTAATTAGTTAATTAATCATTTAATTAATGAAGCGGTGAAGAATGAAAGGACGTGTGGCGGCACTGGAGCTTGCAGTGGTCAAAGTGACGGAGAACCAGCCCACGTTCGTCTCTTTTCCATACTGCCGTGTCGTACGGAAAACAGCAGACGTCCAACCGAAGGACATGCAATATTGGCGCAGTAGAAAAGCGTAGAAAGCTTCTACTAAAATAAACCTTGAAGCCTTACGGGACGAAACAACGATATGAGGAGGAGGAACGCCGTGCTGGCACATCTTTGATGGCCTATTCATATCAGGCCGTCTGAAATTAAAATATAAGCACGTGCATTCTTTCAACTAGTTCTACTGCTAGCGCGGCCGGGAGTCGAACTTGCGTCTGCGAGTTCGACTCTTCACACAAATACGTTCACACACACTAGCAGATGACACAAAACGCGTTATCAGCTGCGTTCTATTCTACTTGATCAGATTGATTCAGATGAACGAACGACGGAAGGGTGGTGGTGGTAGTGCTTAGAAGAGGAGAAAAGCACCTAAGCAGCCCGGTCGGGTAAACGGCGCAGTGCCTCAAAGGAAGGGTCGACTCACAATAAAGTCAATCCAGCAAGTCGAACTCGACTGACGGGCAGGATATAGACTGCAGGTGCGCGCTCGCAGAAAGAAGCGGGCGCAGGTGCAGTCAATTTACAGTATCGTGCCACAGCGGGGCATGTCAAAGAGCGCCAAGTCCCTGCTAAGCCTTCACGCACACAACCGCGCCTGCTTAGAAGCGCTCGACCACGTCCGCGAACGATACAAAAAAAAAAAGAGGAAAAAAACGCGCAAAACGAAGGTAGGGGGGTTCTGTGGACCCCTCACCCCCTGCCTCAAGACGAGAGCGCGTTCGTCCATGATCCGTTACCCGCCTCTCCCGACCGGGTTGCAGAAATTAAGTGCCTTTACTCATCTTCTAACAACTACCACCACCACCACCATACTCGCCTTCCTGAAAGATGCAAACCTGGCCGTGGAGCTTCTTCGCAAGTTATATTTCTTTTTTTTCTTTTTTTTGCTTCTTATCCTACCTATTATCCTCTTGCTCAATGAATCTTTATCCACCTTGCGATACAGCGGTGGAACAAGTGGGTCCTCCCTGGCCCTCTCACAGTCTGTCTCTTTTATCCACATCCCCCGCGAGTATGTCTGTTGAGGTGCCCTCACTGAGGGAGAGTTACCATGCACTTTCCCCCATTTTCCTACATATTCCTTTTAACTTTCGTTCAGTGAATAAAGAATCACTCATATAGTCGAACCTGTTCGCGGAACCTGTAAGGAACAGTAGAAACGGTTAAGAAAGAGGGCAAAAAAATTGAAAGAAGGAATCGACGCTAGTATCTTTCATGCGAGTTCCAAATGGAAAGGGTAAACTCATGAAGACGCCGTCTTCTTTCCTCTGTCCACTGTCCCTTCCCGACGTCCGTCATGGTCATTTCCTCGCCAGTCGTGCGCCCTGTGTAATCGAAGGCGTTTTCTTTAACCTCTGCCCTCACCATCCTCCGCCGCCCACTTGCGGAAGGTGAATCGCCGCTTCCACTGACAGTCCTTTTTTGACAGTGCTGGCCCCAGCAGGTTATGTGGTCTTGGCAAGGCTTTCGCCGACCAAGCGGCTACGTCGGACCGCAAGACGCCAAGTTCACCGGGACTGTACTGCCAAAGCTCATCCCGGCTTTAAAAGGTAGGACTGTCATGATTATTGTCATTGCTGATGTTTTAATTGACGGGAAACGCGTGTTCGAAATGGCCTGATGGAGCAAAGTGGGCAGCTTGCGGATTGACGCTCTGTCCTCTCCCCTTCGCTTATTTTTTTTTTTTTCGTCTACGTGGGTTGCGTCGTTCGCCTTTATTCGGAATGAGCCAACTAGCCCAACAACACACTATGGACAACTGCCGCAGAAAGGGGCGCAGCGTCAAAAAAAAAAAAATCGCATGATTACCATCGGTTATTCATAACAATATACGCGGTTTTATGGCCCAGAACCACGATATGATTATGAGGGGCTACGACGTAGAGGGTGCCGGAAATTTCAAGCAACTGGGTTTCTGGGCCTCCAGCATTTCATCCCTAAAAAAAAAAAAACGTTGGTGGGCTAGCTAGTTCGCTTGCATCGATGAATTGCGTGTAAGAGTGGCAGGCGAGAACGTAGAAGTTCGTGTCGCGGGTCGATGCCGCGGCCGGCCTCAAACCCACGACTTTTGGCTCAGCAGCGCACCGTAACATCTGTACCACCGAGCTTTATTGTTGTAGTAATTCACGTTGAAGCGGTATAGTTGAATGAAGTTGGTATAGGGGCATGCACAGCGATGGAATGGAAATCAAAGTTCAGGCAAGAAGAGATGGATACGAGAAAGAAAGAAGACGACAGCGCCACTAACACTAAAACGGCAACAAAGACGGGATCCATGCATGGCTACACAGGAAGAGCTGAACTGACGCACTTCGCGTCGTTCGTTTGCTTTCTGAACTTTTGTTTATTACGTGCAGGTTATCGCAAATTAGTTCTGCGAACTCCTGGAAAGTGGTGGAAGGACCATGAAAAAGAAAGGAAAAAAAAAACATTGGCAACGACTGGTTTGTACCACGAAGTCGCGAGGAGATACAGATCGATATCTCAGAAAAAAAAAAAAAAAACGCCTCTAAATCAATGAACTCCGTCTTGATCCGGGCATCGGGCCGAGACTAATACCTTTCCGGTGCGGTCGCCCACACCATTTGAACTAAGCAGAATGCAAGCAAGTGGCAGTGCTTCACCCAGACGCTTTGCTTTTGAGGAATTAGTAAGTGTTTCTTATAGCTTTACGCTACGTGTAACTTAGAAGTGTGGCAGCTTGGGCTCGTGTCTTTCGTGTCCTTCTTGTCTCTGTGTCGTCGTTTTGTTCTCGCGCTATAGCTATCGTTTATGCTACAGGCGGGTAGTTGTCAATGAAGCCCTTCATACGGTGGTCGTAGTGGTAGAAGAGGAAGAAATGCACCTAATTTTCTGCAGCCCCGTATGGAGCACGGCGCAGTGGTGGATTATGTTAGGATGTGTGTGAATGGATGAACTTAATTATCCAGCAGAGAGGCCCCGCATCCAGGAAGTGGGGAGGTGGGCCAGATTCTTCGGGGAAAGGCAGGGGTAGTTTCGGAAGGGAGCCGGAAGAGAATTGGGAGATTATTCGGGGAAAGGCAAGAGCCGGACGACGCGACTTGTGGCACTTTCGGCGAACCGCGTCCGCTTTCTCTTCGTCTTCGCTGGCTAACCGCGAGGTCCGTCCTAAACTTGCGCGTACAAGGCGCCAACCGGGGGGGGGGGGGGGGGGTTCCTGACTGGAAAGACCAGAATAGATGCTGTCAGTCTGCTCAAGAATGATTACACAAACTACAGTCCACCAACGGTCACTTTTTTATTTTTGATGATATTCTATTATTTATTTACAATACTGCTACTCTCTTTCGAGAGCGTGGCAGTCGGGCAGTACGATTTTTCACAAAAAACTTTAACGAAAAAAACATAGTTTAAAGCAAACACTTACAAGCACAAAAGGATATCATAAATATTGTCAATACAATCGAAGAATGCAGGAGTTAACTAATAATAATAATAATACTTTACATACAGAAACCCCTTAAATTACAATGCAAGTTCTAAATATTATGCTCGCACAGTTTTTCCTCTGTGACGTTAATTCAGATAATGATTCGGTGTCGGTTATAGCAGCATCCGATAAGAATAACGGAGAAATTCATGTATTGGCCTGCGTTCTACATGCTTAGCACACTTAGCGAAGCGGCGCCCAGGGGTGCATGTAGACAGGCATTTTCTTTTTTTGAGTGGGGAGGGGGTGCGGGTAAAGGCCGCTTGATATGAAGTGAGGGACCAGCAGGCAAATTCGGTGGAGTATCATTTACGTCCCAAACACCGCCATATGATTATGAAAGACTCCGTAGAGGAAGGCTCCGGAAATTTTTTGTTATCTGGTGTTATTTAACGTGCACTGATATCACACAGAACACGGGCCTCCATCGCGATGCGACCATCGCGGCCGGTATCGAACCGGGGACCTGCGGGTCAGCAGCACAGCACCGTATACTGCTACGCCATCGCGGCGGACTTTTGGCGATACCTCGCTAAGTGTTCTGGCATGCTCGAGCTAGCCCAAGCTAAAGCGCTTCTTTGCGGAGTCTGTGACAGTTCTAGGCTGGGGCTGGTTGGTTGATTGGAACTACTTCATTCAGGTCCTGCGGGACGCGCCCTAGCACTTAGCGGGCGGCTCCCACGTCGGTACAACGAGGCTAAGCCTGTCGGCCGCTTCGCGAGACAACCCAAAGCTGGTCGGCCAGGTGCGGGCTGCGGATGGCCGCCTGGCCAATGTGGAATCCGAGCTTGATTGAATGCGCCCCCATATAAAGTGTGCTAATGTGGTGGACTTCAGCTCGCATGTGGGGCACACGTTATCGGGATAGTTCTCAGGGTATGTTGTATGCAGAGTGTAAACATTCGGATATGTCCCCGTTTGTAGCAATGGAAACGTGAGGTTGAGGTAACGGACGGAAAAATTGTCGGCACCCCTTCAAGTAGTAGTGCTGCACTCGGGGACAACTTTCTGTGGCAATAAATGGAGGGATATGGAGCCAAATTGGATGTGTGTGCCACCGCTGTAGAATGTATTGCCACAACTGTGTCCGTGTTTTCTGCCTGAAAATAGCAAAAAGAACAATATTATTTTCTACTGGATGCTGTTTATAAAGAGACGCTGCACGCACCGAGGAGATATTCATATTTGTTGTTGCTTTCTGAAGAGTCATTTCGCATTTTCGCGCCTCTGAAAACGTCACACGTATTACGTAGACTTCACGGTCAAGATGGCGTTTCCGTCTCCAAGTGAGCGCGCGTCGCCCTGCTCTGCAGCTATTCCAACGACTCGCCCAAGGAACTTGTGTCAAATATCTCTCCCAAAATAGAGAGTTTTAGTACTGCGGAATGGTGGTACGTACGCATCACGCAAGCGCCTTGCGTTACGTGGCGTCGTTTGCCACTAATCGGCTTTTAGTACGCCGTAGTACCCGCGTACGTAACGAGCGTGAAGCGTGTTGCGTCATCTGGTAGATCAAAATAGAAGTACGCGTTGTTGACAGCCAATGTGAGCCAATCCAAGCGTTATAGCCAGATTATGGCCATATTTTAAGCCACAGAGCTGGCCTGTGCTTGCCTTCGATGCCGCAATTTTGCAAAACGAAGTCTCGCGCTGTCGCGAATTCGTTCGAGAGCGGCGCGATCACCTCATACGTATACGCACGCACGCATCTCATGCGTGCGTACGTAGCAGCTGCGTACGTAACGCGATACGTGCGCGTTGCGGTCTGCGCATGCGCACTACGCAGAGCGTGGCGTCCTTACGTACGCAACGCTGCCACGTACGCAGCGTACGCAGTACTAAAACTCTCTAATGGCTGTGTAAGCAGACGTATCAAATTGTGTACTGGGTTGATCACTTGAGCATGGCCGTCGTGCGAAACGCGAACAGGCCCGAAAAACTTCACGGAAGATTACAGGAGCAGTAACTCCGCCCCCGTAGCTAGCCACGTGGTCGAAGAGAAGGGGCATCTCGCGCTCAGGGACGTCCGAGATGTCGCTGCGTTGAGAACCACTTAGATTTGGCTGCTTTTCGAGCACTGAATTTTGTACCGAATTCCAGTATTCACACAAAGTACTGAAAAAAAAAACAGCTCGCAACTTTATTGCGAATTCCACTGGTAGATCCGGAATGGCCGCCGAAATCTTGGAGCGAGCACTCGGAGTGTGCCAAACGAGATCTGCGAGTGGAACACGTGAATGCCCTGCGTGAGCTCTCTCTGGCAATTTTTTACGCATACGTCACTAAACCGGTACCGGAAACGATTTTTTTTTCTGCTCTGGACGTTTCAATGACAACTGTGTCGCCACTGCAAAGCACACATTTCGACCACGCAGTCTCGCCGAAAGCAGGGCTACCGCTTCCCAATTTTAGGAATATAAACAACGGCACAGAGTTGCTAGACTGCCTCGAAAAATGCTGAGGGCAACCCAGCTGCCCGACTGTACAGGGAATGACGGCAACGCATTCTCGGAGTTCCGGGGAAATACGTCTCTGCAAGACGGAGCACGCGGAACGCTACGTCGTGGAGTGGATTTCTCCGAATCTACCAGTGGAAAATGCGAACTTGCTCTGACTCTACCAGCGAAACGCGGATTGTCAGCTTTGGAGCAAGAGAACTTGCTCCCGCTCGACGAGTGGAATTCTCCATTAGAAACGACACGAGCGAACGCATCGGCGGCGGCGGAATCAGAAGGCTGTGCACAAAACCGAGACACGTTGGGTCATGCCGACTCGCTGCTGCTGCACCGTCTACTTCCAGTGTTCTCGGCAATCGTAACCCAAACCAGGCTCTCGATGAACGCGTCCTCTTTGAGGCTGCCAATATTCGTCGTGCTGCATGAGTAGTTTGCAATTTGAGCCGATGCGAGCCACCACCGACTCCTTTGCCGCCATGTTGAATCTACGGCCGACTGTTTAGATGACATGGTTCGAGTGCAGCCAAGTGGGAAGAGGAGTCGCTTTCGCGTGGTGGGAAAATTGGTCTCGCACCGATATTTAGGGTCGAAGCTCCTTAAAACGTGGGCCGGTCGTCACCTGTGTGTATGCATGTATGATGAGTGGGCGAATGATGAATGATGATGATTAGGGCGATGCTTCGGAGGGTTTTATTGGCAAACCGTGAATCATCCGCTGGCCGCGTCCGTCCGTCGTCTGTCTGTCTGACGCACAGACGGACGGACGGACGGTCCGGAAGCAAGAGCGGACGGACGGAAGTGTGGACGGACTGACGGACGCTTCGCCCCACTCATCATCATTCACTCCTTCCGAACGCCGAATGGATGCTGTTATCGCGGCTCACAGAAGCGACACGCCAACAACACTTCACCATGCAGTATGTATTGAAATCAGGTCGTGTAGACTTCGATCTTTCGCGCACTGACCGTGCTGACGACTGAGCAGGAGCAAGCAGTACCGCTTACTTTGCTGGCAAGCCGCTGTCTTGTAACGTGTAACCGTCGACGCCAGCGGCGTTGGCGGGTTCGTCTTGCTCTGCAAGACCATGACAAGCTCGCTCACGCCAACTGCTACCTCTTCCGGGAGATCGGGACGTGAAGTAGGCCACTACACAGAGCGGATTCCGTTGGCTACAACGTTCAGTTACGTGCACAGCGACATGACAATCGAGTCAGACTTGGCCGCCATTTTTGAAATTCTTCCACGAGCGCTCCTGTTGGTAGACTGTACTGGCACAGAACACTTATATACTGCCATTGGTATTGGTTCGCGACGACCAATTCAACGGCAGGCACAGCAAAAAAAAAAAAAAAAAAAGGCAGCATATCCACGGAGTGAATGATGGAGAGTGGGGCGAAGCATTCTTCCGTCCGTTCGTTCTTGCTTCTGTCCGTCCATGCGTCCGTCTGTGTGACCGTCCATGCGTCCATCTACCCGTCAGTGCGTGCGTCTGTTCGTCCGTCCGTCCCTGCGTTCGTCCATGCAGCCGCCCCTGCGTCCGTTCATGCGTCCATCCATGCGTCTGTCTGTGTGTCCGTTCGTTCATCTATTCAACACTCCAAGTCCCACCATCTCGCATCTTTTCATCATATATTCCCCATATAGAAACACCGCCGTCAGGCGGACATTCCAAGGACTAAACGAGAGGTGGCACACGCACACTTTCTTATGGCTTGCGCTTCAGGTCTACTTCCCACCTTTAACCACCTCGAGTTCATGGTATATACTAGTTCATTGTATTCATGGCACTGCGGCTCAACGCTCGCTAAACCTTTCTAAAATTAAGGAGGTTACACCCAGCGAGTATAACGTAGAAACACTTTCTTGTCAGATAGTGCTCAATGTACATGCCAATGGCTGATAATGGAGATCGCAGCGTGCGCGTTAACTAAAAGTCGAATGCTTCCTGTCTCTCATTCCCCATTAGCCGCCATTGGCATGTACATTAAGCACTATTTTTTATTGTTCAATAACGCACAGAAGAAATCTCTCAGCCGCATCACCTAGGAGGTCAGAATGTTATACTTGTTACATACTACAACGGCTACGAGGGACGTACGGGTGCCGCTATAAGGAGCTTCGCCCCTAAAAAAATCGCTCCGAGGGCGATAGACCCGCAGAAGCAAGGGGTGTTGGCAGAGGGCTCTTGCGGAAGATCTCGCCGCCGCCGAATCGGATTCGGCGCCCTTCGGGTAACCGGAATGTTCAGTGTGAACGAGCCATGTGTGTTTGAAACCATTATTTTGACTGATATCAATGACACTCCAAACAAACTATTTTCTTGTTAGACATGCGTTAACGATGGTGACTGGGGGGGGGGGGGGGGTTGGAAGAAAGTGGGTATCGATTTAGGGGGGGGGGGGGGTTAGAAAGAGTGGGTAACGATTTAGAGTACCAGGTACTCTACTATGGGAGCGCTTAAAGCCGTTTATCTTTGTCAAACTGAAAAGTTTCGCGGTGGAAGCAGGAAATGTAATAGAGCTACCACTTACTTGTCACGAAAGCCTGTCTATACTCCCCGGCTTTTCGGAGGAAGCGGTGGAAAGTGAACAGTTTTTGGAATGCAGCACCGAAGGTCCTCAGACGCCATTATCATTAGAAACCCGTACCGACATGAATCTTTACTTTAAAGTGGCCATGACGCCCAATTTTTTAACATAATCCATGTTGTGTGAGTAAATAATTGTGCGTTCACAAACAAACTGCCGAAATTCGAGCGCATTTGGTGGAGCACTCAATTTCTATTTAAATATTTTTGCAAACACACGAGCTACCCGAGAGTCGGGCAACATTGCCACACTTGCGAGCCGTGACGTAACAAGCTCCTCGCCGAGCAGACGCCTGCCTTCCAGCGAAGGATTTTGCTGCTTGACTTGCTGCGTGCGCAATCGAGCCTTTTCAGCTTAAGCTCAGCTTGGCGTTAATACTGAGCGATCTGCAGCGGCCGACACATTGGCAGAAGACGACAGCTGCTCTCCAAGCCGCACATGACGTCACACACGCGATCAGAAAACGGCGGTCACCGGCGGAGTTTATAGACGGTTTCAAGGTCACAAGCTTTATCCCCCCAAAAAACTTCCAGTAACCTTGTTTACCAGCTCGTAACGTCAACACTGACAGCACGTTTTTATTTCTTTTCAAGCATAAGGAAAATCTTTCGTTTTTCACATTTAAAAAAAAATGTGCGTAAAGTACGAGGAAATGTTTCATAATTTTTATGGAGCTCAAAACAACATTTATTTGTATATATTTTTGTCAAATAAGGGAAGGAAACTATAGAAAATCAGCGGACTATTTTCTAGAGATTTCGTGGTCCACCAATGCAATTACAGCACATCGGTGGACAAAACCGGAAGTAATCAAAGAGCTGTGTTTGTAAACCTTGAAATGGTCTATAGCCGGCGATTTATATGGTTTACTTAGAGCTCAAATATCCTTTTACAGTGCGTTTTTTATGGATGTATAGGTACAATAGTCCCTCTACCTTTATTATTCGCTGAAAACTGCGAATTGTCGAGTGAATGTCCCATAGCTCCTTTCTACAATGATGGACAGGTCTGTCTGGTTAAAAGTACAGGCTAGACTTGCCCCCCCCCCCCCCCCAGATGATCAAGTGGTGCGATCTCTATCGCCTGTCACGCATGCCGTATATTGTGTACTATACCGCTCATCCACGATTATTGGATCGGTGTCGAAGTTTTCGCTATATGTAGGCATCGATTATGCTTTTTATCGTCGTCTGAGCAATAATCAATCACCGTCATCTGTCCAGCTGATAATCATAATCGCTTCTTCACAGAATTCGCGACGCTTGTTCGCTCCCGAGTTCGCGGTCAAATAAGCGTCGTTACAACCGAGTCGTCGTACGTGGTGGAGGTGCATCCAAATGCGAGACAGCCCACTTACTAATGAGATTTAAAAAAGAGCAAACAAACGAGAACCCGGAGGTAAACTTCATTTTTTTATTCGATACAAAAAAAAAAACTTGGCGTGACGTGTGACACGCATGTGCGTCAGCCAAGCGCATCACAGCTCTGGAATAGTTTTGATCTCAGTTCGTGTGGACCAAGCTCGGAGAACACGCTACGGCGCTCGGTTCACTCAGAGTAAGATCAGTGCTAAAGTAAAATGTATGTACGTTAACACATCTAACAGATAAGGAGATCGCGAGATCGAAAAACTATCAAGGAAGCAATAGGGTCACTCCGGCATCGCGTGTACATTGCAGCTACCGGAGTGTACAGGTACGAGCAGCATTTCTGGACTATCATTTCAAAATGCGTATAATACGTAAACTAAATAAAGAGGCGCAAGGTCGAGTAGGAGCATGGAGGTAAAGAAACACACGGAGAAAGCGTCAAGCAACACGATTGAAACTGAAAGTATCGGCCTAACACGTCATCGCCACGTCAGAGAATCTTCTGCTACGCGAGAGCTCACTTGTAGGGCAGATACGGCATGCAAAGAAAAAAAAGAAAAGAAAACAAACAGAAAATGTCTTCACGGAGAGTTCCGCTTGCCAAGGTTGAGCTACGTGACGGAATGCCCTCTCCTAGCCTACTTCTTTCTCCGACAAGCCGAACACTCGACAAGAGTGCCCGGAGAGGTAGTAAAGTAAACGGCAGAGGCGAGATCCACGCCTTAGCGACAGCCCTGGATAACGTACTGAGGTCTCGAAGGCTACGCTTTGACCGAATGCACGCGTATACCGCGGAGACCAGGAAACGCGTCACGAAGGCAGCGTTTCAGACCCCTCCCCCCACACACACACACATAGAGGGAAGAGGGACGTAAGACTAGAGAGATGCTTCAATCTCCGAGCTCCATTTCGACCACCTCGTCGAGGAACGGTTTGAGCATGGGCAAGAAGACGCGCTCGACGGTGCGCAGGTCGTAGCCGCTGTCCACGTACACGGCTCCGGCTACGGATTGGAAGAAGTTCTGGATGAAGCAGCGGCGCTTCTCCACGCCGCTCAGCTGCCTCAGTGTCTGCACAGGCAGGTCGTACGGGAAGGGCATGAAAGAGATGCAAGAGGAAGGCGTTACCCGAATCGAACATTTCGTTCATTCGTTAAATAATAGCTATTCACAAGTTGATCATTCGTTTGTTCATACTTTGCACCAGGTGTGTGGAAAAAAGCAGCATAATCCACATGTTCGTCGCACAAGTATAAGTAACCATAAGTAACCAATGTTCTAAATTTGCAGATGTAATATAGTTCTAAATTTAAAGGGACACGGAAATGAATAAATTAATGAGTTTAGACTGAAAGTTGTGCTCTGTTAACTCTAATTTCTCTAATTTCACCAACATAGGTTTGATGATTGAAGAGAAATTTAAGGTAAAAGCTACATATTTAAAATACCATGCCAAAATATGCGCTCATGTACGTCATATTTAGCTCGCAGATTTCAAATCTTATTTTTTTTTTCATGTTTTCGCCACGTTAGCTTAGCAAGATTTTTTTGAAACCTCGCAAGATATTTTACTGATTATGAACTGCGTAGACCCTCCCAGTAGGCGCGGCCGAAATCCGTGATGTCACAGCGATTAGTGAGGAACTTTCAAGTCGGTGTCACCACTTCCGTTTTTTTTTTTTTGGCACGTTCTCTAGCTTACCAAGCACATTCTCACGGCAGGCACACACGGTGGTTTCGGTATCGTGCAAAAAGCTAATCGTTTCGTTTTATCCGGATTCGTTATGCACGTGTTCGATCACACCATAGCGCGCTTCGTCGAGACGGTGCTCACCTGTACGTCCTTGGTCGGTGACATTCTCGCGTTCGATGAAACGAATCGTTCGTTTTACACGAATTCGTTACATGCGGATTCGATGATATCATAGCGTGCTCTGACGAGACAGAAGGAAGAAGAAAGTTTAAGCGGAAAGACAGGGAGGTTAGCCAGTTCTTAGACCGGCTGGCTAACCTGTGCTGGGGAAAGGGGTGTCTGACGAGACAGTTCTCACCTGCACGTCCGTGATCAGTGACATTCTCGTGTTAGATGAAACGAATCGTTCGTTTCATGCGAATTCGATCGTATCATAGCGTGCTCTGAAGAGACGCCGGGTCTCACCTGCACGTCCTTGACGTTCTTGATGTACTCGTTGAGGTGCTCCCAGTCCCGGCGGTCGTCGATGAAGACGGCCTCGTGGAAGCCGTTTCGCACGGCGAGCAGCGCGTACGCCTCCTGGCACTCGACCAGGGCGCGCCTCTGCGCCAGCTGCTCCTTGGTCTTGACGGCGCAGTGCTCGAGCAGGTACTGCGAGATGACGAACTTGAGCACGTAGTCGCCCACGTAGTCCAGGGGGTCGCAGAAGGTCTTGTTGTTGGGACGCTTGCTCTGCTTGTACGTGCGGTGCAGCAGGGCGCGCAGCAGGGTGCCTGCGGTGCCGAGAGGGGGGAGTCTCAGTTACACTCGGTTACAGCCAATAGAACAAGATACCAGCTCTGCCCACAGCCATTGCCCCGATTTCCAAAGAGTACATGTATAAATGTTCCAGCTACAACCCACATCCCCGACGTACGTCAAACAACTCGAGTTCATCTTAAAAATGGTGCCAGTCACCGTTCCACGTGACCACAGACACCACATAGAACAAAAAATAGGCATCTATAGCGGCGCGAGGACTGAAAGGTGGTGGTAGTGGTTAAGGTGGTAGTGGTTCGGCGACTGGTGGAAGTACTGGGCAGTCTCACGAATGCTGCAGACACCCCCCCCCCCCCCCACCCCCCAGGAAGCCGTGATAAGAGTCCAGTACCAGTCAATATTCCCGTTTATCGGACCAGCCGCCGAATCAGGGGATTGCATCCGGAAGTCGAGGATACTGCTCCCTCTACGTCGAAAAATATACCCAGCACCTACACCAGTTTGTCACGATGAGTCACAAGTACTGGGGGATTTGCTAAACCACCGGGTAGCTAGCTCTAGGACGAAGCGTCAGTCGTGGCTGGCTATCGAGCAAAGAAGAAGCACGCGATCTTCTTTTTCCTCCAGATAGAGAGCCGCTCTTGCTGTCGACCCACTACGTGCTGGTGGCAATTTCTGCAGCCCGGTAGGGAGCATGGCGCAGTGCCTGGGGCTGTCTTGTAGTGTAGGTGTGTTAAAGGGAAGTAGAGGTGAGGAGGAGAGAAAGAAAGAGGGGAACCCCACCAGCCAGGACAGAAAGAACAGCCGAGCTGGTGGCGTTCCCCTCGTTCTTTCCCTCCTCCTCACGTCTACTTTCCTTTCACACACCAATACTACAAGACTACGTTTGCTTTACACCGTCCCTTCATTTCATTGCCCTTTCCCAACATATGTTGTACTATAGATAGCTACGCTGTGCTTAACACTCTGACTTTATTCTTTCCCTTCTCACTACCCTTTTACACCCTCTTCCTATACATATCTAGTAAGTGTACTCTGGGATACGATCTTGGCATGCGCCGCCATCATCGAGCACGTGACAACGGATGACACCGAGTCAAGCTGTAAAATCTCGCACGAAGTTGTTTCGCCCATCACGTGCGACACCATGGACTAGGAACTACACCGCAGACATGGAAGATCAGAGTCCCCCATTGAACATCTGCTTCGCTGTTGGCTGCATAATGTCCTTCGTCTTAACCACAAGGCAAACGGTCAAAACACGAACGTAAGCACGGTGGCGGTATTGGGCTCGGTAATGGCGGATGGAAGACCGTAACTGACGTCACTTGCAAGTTATTTATATTATGCTGAACTACACTATTTCAGGCTATGTCATGCTTCACTCACCTCTCCTCCTTTTTCCCCTTCACCCTCACTGTCCTTTCCCACACATTTGTTACACAAGGCAAGCTGTACTTTGTGATCGGAAACGAAGCGTCGTGGTGCTGCTTTGTCTTAACTGGCAGTGGCCAGAACTCGGAGACGAGACACGTCACACATGTCACGTGACTAGCCGATGAATATAATATGCAAGGTAGAGACTTCGCGTGGTGCGTGCCGTGCTGATGCCGGTCACTTTTTTTTCGCTTATGTTTTTACTCATTTTTTACCTTGTATATTACCTTTTGTCGTTGTGCGCTAATGTACAGTAGAGTCCCTGAAAATGATGGAGACCGTTTTAGGGAATCAATCGACCAATTAAAAAAAAAAAAACCTGACCTCCACAACTCAAACCAATCGGCTATACTTCAAATCGCGAGTGAACGAATATCGTTTCACATCCATTTTCGCAGTTTGTTTGAATGCAATAACCGAATTCCCGCGATTGCCTTAACGATTTTAACCGCCTCCCTGACACGCTGATTGTGCACGCAGCGGTTGCGGACAAGTTTGTATATACAGTACCTATCTCTGTCTGCAGGTACGTGCTTGAATATAGCACTTACCCGTAATGAAGTTGCACCTGAAGACGCAAATATCACCGGTTCTTCAAGTCGTTTTTCTTAATCTGCGCCAGCCAAACATGCCGGTGCTTTCCGGAAAATCGCAATGTGCGTTCTCATTTTTTTTTTTAGGTAATAACTTTCGGCAAAGAGAACACCCTGACGCTCTGCTCGCTCTTCGTGGACTGTTATATCGAATTGCCTCACCAGCAGCTGATAATTGTTCAAACTCGCATCGTTAGGCAAAACTGAACGGGCGCATGCACGAGGAAACAACACGGCAGCGGTCAGCCGCGGAGTCAGTAGGTACCCCGGCATGTCTGCGGCGCATCTCGGAAGTGACGGAAGGGGCGCTGCGTGACGCACGTGCTCCGTGCCTTCGAGCGTGTGAGCTTCGGCCCAGGGGCCACGTCTTGCATACACTTGTGTGTTTAAAACAAAGGTGTCTAACGATTTAGAGTGTATAGTTGGTACTCTACTATGGGAGAGCATAATGCCGCGCCGTGGGCCAACCACATAGAGTAACATGAAAATGACAAGATTGGTCACTCGGGCCAAAACAAAACGGCTGAGCTACGCAGCTTCACCCCAGCCGTAAGATGACAACACATCACTCAATGCTTCGAGGAAACACGCGCACTAGTTATTTATTACACTATTTTTTCTAGTGCATTATACGTCTACGTGTTTTCGCGTATGTGATAGTGGCCTGAATCCGTCTTTATCGTCTGCGATTGTACGGTGCGATAACGTCGGGCTGGGATCGGGCATGAATCGGACGCGAGAGAAGTGCACATGGCGTTGATTGATATGTGGGGTATAACGTCCCAAAACCACCACATGATTATGAGAGACGCCGTAGTGGAGGGCTCCGGAAATTTCGACCACCTGGGGTTCTTTAACGTGCACCCAAATCTGAGCAAGTGCACATGGCGTCGACGCGACGCCAACGTTGTCACGCTCCGTGTTAATGAGCGTTTTCGGCAATGAAGAAATACTAGGCAGCAGCAGGAAGACGCCATAAAAAAGATGTGCTGCGATAACATGCCTGTCGTGCGTCGTGCTCTTCGCTTGTTTCGGCTGCCTCTCAGCTCGGCTGCTTGTAGGTACGAACGCCATCAATACTGTGTTATGTTACTGCGTATTGCATTTGTCGTTGAAGCCTTAACCTAACATATCTGGCGTCCAGTGGCTAAGGTACTCGGCTGCTGACCCGCAGGTCGCGGGTTCGAATCCCGGCTGCGGCGCTGCATTTCCGATGGAGGCGGAAATGTTGTAGGGGCCGTGTACTCAGATTTGGGTGCACGTTAAAGAACCCCAGGTAATCAATATTTCCGGAGCCCTCCACTACGGCGTCTCTCATAATCATATGGTGGTTTTGGGACGTTAAACCCCACATATCAATCAATCTAACATATCTGGCATCGTGGCGTTTGGCGCAGAGATCTTTTTTTGTGGTCCTCACTTTGCGTACTGTTTTCGTGGATTGCTTCACACGAAAGAAAGCTGTTTGGAATGCTCGCAACACGTTTGCGAGAAAATTCTTTCTTGGCCCAAGAAATTGAGTCGTCGCTCGCGTTGATAAGTTTTCTTTGGCCGTATACATGTATTCGAACTCGCTGAATGAGTGATATTTTGTGAAAAGTGCAACTATGTTTAGTATCCTTATCTGTGCCGTTCTCGAATTGCCTGTAGCTCGAACGAGCGCAATAAGAGAAGTGGTTAATCTAGAAAAAAACGTTTACTAGCTAAAGCTAGGACGTAATCTTTGAGTAAATACTCCTGCCTCGTTAACGGTTCGCATGACACCTAAAATTGCTTTGTTTTTGCTTCTGCAACTGCTTGTGGCTGTTTTTCGCGAAAAAGCGATCTAAAGTGTGCAGGAGGAAAATTACTGCGAATGTGTGAAAGAAAACGTAGCCAACAATTTTTCTTTTCTTCTTTCGGTTCATACCAGAGTCAAGTGCTAAGGCAACTACTGCCGTGTCGCGTTGTGCACTGCATGTGTAGTTGTGTGCGTTTATTGCAGTTTTATTCTGCTGCGGTTCTGGTTATATTATTGCCCATAGGTTTATTTCGTGCGTTTAATTTATAATCATAATATGACAGCTGTATTTTCGCGTCTCACAGTGCAATGAACCCGTCTTTGTGCCTGCGTTTATCAAACATTAACAACCGAAAATATCACTTGAAAATAAAAGTTCTCGCTCCTCCAATGATTCTCATATTTTAAATTGAATTGTGTGCATAGACACACATTGCCATTGTGTGCTTGCCGCTCTAGCGGTGCAGCTTACACGAAGCTCATCGATGCATGCCAGCGACGCGCTAAAGAAGTAAATAAAGTATGGCTTCAAAGATTATCACACACGTAGAAGTGGTCTCGGAGGCTGTTATATACCTAGCCACTATAAAATGGCCTTAGAGACCGTCTTTTCTGCGGTCTGCCGTCTTTGAGGCTGCAAAGTTTCTTACAACCAGCCGCAGGGGCCTACGGAAGTGTCCTCTCTTGGCCTTTTATATTACTCTATGGGCAAACCGTGAAAAGATGTCAGCGGTCTCCTCAAGTCTGTGTTCAGATTTGGAAATGTGGTGAACGATTTAGAGTACGTAGTACTCTACTATGGGAGAGCTGGAAGCCGTCCCGCGGGTTTTGCACTAAGAACCAGTAGCTTGCATGACAGCTGATTAGATTCAATACACCCTGAATTGGATACCGATGTTTTTGCCTGACTAAAGAAAAACACGTTTGAGTCGCTGGTTTTAGACAAGAAGCTCGAACGTCCTGATGAATTTCACTTGGGAATTTTAATATTGCTGCTCAACCGAGCTTAACTGTTTAGATAGTAACAACGATTCTTTATGTTTAAACATGCGCAGCATTCATGGTAGCCCAGAAAAATGACTTAATGTTTGAGCGTAAACCAGCTAAAGCGAGTGCCTTTCACCGGACAAGCGCACCGCTGTTCTGTGGGCGGAAAAGCTCCTTGGCACACGTTTCTACGTTGAGTGGCGTTGCGGTCACCGTCGATATCGACGTCGGTCGATATGGCGTAACTGATATACATGACTATTCAAAATGCAAAAAAAAAAGAATCAGCAAAACCCGTGTATTTTTGGGATTCGGTGTTACGCGGTGCACGCGGAGGAAAGTTGACTGTGTAGTAATTTTTTTTAATGAGCGAAATTATGAAATGACGCTAAAGATGTGTACAAATGTTATACGCACAGAATTGTTGAACGGTCACATATCATTTACATAAGCAGTTCTTTACAGTTGCGTAACTATGCCAACAGAAACATTTGGTACTACATAGCAACATAAGAAGCGGCAGGCTGATACGAAGCGCTTGTGCTCGCAAGGATGGTAAGCCTGGACACTGCTGCACAAATCAACTAAAATAGATGGTGCTTAACTACAATTTAGGTTAACCTGACGTGACGGCTGTATCGTATTAGTACATACGTAAGTACGTAAAGTTTACAAAAAATTCTGGCTGCGGCCCTGAATGCGTGGCCTCAATGTGTGATGATGACTTTTGCTTATTCGTCTCGGCGAAGCCAACGCGGGAGCCCGCCGGTACCGATGGTCAGTTTTCATTTCTCATGAGGCATCTATAAGGCTTTCACCTCCAGACATACAGAGTGCGCTGTAACTGTACGTACAGTGCGATCCAATATTAAATGAAACGCACGAACGAACAAGTTTCAATGTCCGGTCTAGTTGGTAGAGATTCATCTTCAATGCAAACGAAATTGGCGGACGTTTAAGTTTCGCTTTCGCTTGACGACTAAACCGCCATAGCATAATCAGGCCTTGTGTGCATCGCTTTCTCAACTGCTAGCCTGCTTCTGTTCTCAGTGCATGTATCAGCCGTATACCGTAAAGAAATTAACGACTGCACGCGTAACATTGGCCGTTATAAAGTGTCTCTGACTGCCTAATGCAAGCACAGTTAAGTGCCTACTGCGCCTTTTTCGAATCAGCGAAGCGCCCCCTATACACGTCTGTAGTGCAACACGCGAACCCATGCAGCTGTTCAGTCTATTGACGGTTCTGCTTCTGATGATGATCATACATATCCGAGCGCTTTGTGACGGGCGGGCCTTTAGAAGACTCATTCGTTGCCCGATTCGCACCTTTTGAGGCCCGGCCATATGGTACGCTTCTGGCGCGCAATATATACGATGCGGTAAGAAAGCTATTTCCCCTACATGATATTCATACAGGTTTTTTTTTTTTTTTTTGAAAAGCAGTTTCAACAAATATTGTGTATCTGTGCTAGGACACTTTTTTATTACGCAGACGGTTTAAGTTCGATGCTCACTTAGAACCGGAAATTTTGATTATCCGTTTTATTTGATTTTTTTTTTTCGATTTTTCGGTGACGGGCACTCAAGATGATGATTTTTCGTTCGCAACCAACGACGCCGACGCCGGAATCGGGCGAGCTTGCCGGACCGTAGGTCGGCAGACTCACCCACGATTTTGCTCCCTCAAACTCAAACCCGGGACGAGTCGAGTTTGGCTGAGCAATATCCTCCCAAGTCTGAGTCCGAGTGAGTCCGGTTAAGGAAAATTTTGTCGAGTCAAATATATTTCATGAGTGAGCCCCAGTGACTTTCGCATGTTTTTGCCGAAACATGCCCTCGACGTAAGGTACTTGTCCTTACAATACGCAATGAAACGGGCGCTCGTAAGGAAGAGACAATTGGGTAAGGACATATCCACGACTCAACTCTTTGTCTTGAACTCGTATCCTCCGAGCCTCTCGTTGACGAACTTTTCCGGGTACTCCATCTGAAGCTTGATCACCAGCTCGGGCTTGAGCACGAAGTGCGGGTGAATAGTTCCCGCGTTCGAACCTGGTCACGGAGAAGAAAAAAAAGATGACGATTATGATAATAATAATATCTGGAGTTTCACGTCCCAAAACCGCGCTACGATTACGAGAGACTCCGTTGTGGACGGCCCCGGAAACTTATAGCGTGTGGCGTTCTTTAACGTGCACTAACATCGCACAGTATATATATACACAGGCTTCGACCATTTCACCTCCATCTAAATGCGACCGCCGGTATCGAACCCTCTACCTTCGGGTCACCAACCAAGCACCGTATGCACTGTTCCAACGACGCAGGGATAAAAGCAAGAGAGATATTTGAAAGTCCCTCTAGCCATGTACTCGACTCAGCTTCTCCGCTGAGAGAAGAGTCCATCATGCCGCGCATGACGTCACCGACGCCATGACAAAATGGCGATCGCGGGCAGCATAGTTTCCTAATATACACTAGAGGGAACTCTGGCGCTAGTGTCTATGGGAGCTGCAACGCACGGTACTTCAGCGAGCATGGGAACGATGGGTAGTACACAGATTTGTCTAATCTTCATACCTCTAACCTGCTTCTGGCTCCGTGTGTGTTCGTGTGGCTTGGAGCTGTTTTTTACGAAAAAAAAAAGAAATGTTCAGCGTTTGCGCTTCACAGCCTTATTCTTTTAGGCTTATCGTTTCGAATCGGGTCACAAAGTTCAAAAGGGTTCATTCTTTCCTTCAAAACAAAACTGTAACCAGCAGTGAACGAAGCCGCAAGTACGATTCGTCGCCCACAAGTACGAAGACTATAGGCAAATATGTGTACTACCCATCATTTCCATGGTCGCTGAACGATCGCAGCGCCAGAGTAGTTAATTTAAGGAAACTCTACGGCGGGCAGAGGGCGCGGCTTATACATGGAGGAAAGTAGATGAAGGAAAACGAGAGGAGAGAACAATACGTCATGTCGGCCAAGCACGTGATCAGAGCGTGCGGTACGTTTTAGTACTTTCGGTGTCGTTCCGTTTTTGAACCTCCTGCGTGACCCGGCCGGTCGGTGCCGAAAAAAAAACGCTATCGGACACCTTATAACCTGAACTCCCGGCAAGTTTCGTTGTAGACGCAAAAGCTGACGTGTTGGGCCGACACTGGCTTCAAAAGAGATTCGCGCCAAAGCTAGCTGCGTGACGTCATGCTCCCTCCTTTCTTCTTATTCCTCCATGATTTTATATAATAACCAGCGGCTTATAGGGCTTATTTTGCGCTACAATATATTCTAGCACGGTATATTTTTTCATACATTTACAGGCACCCTTTACTGCTATTTTTTTTTCGTTCAAAATCGTTAATTGTTGGGTGGGTGCGTCATGCACCATTTAGCGCATTCAAAAAAAAAAAAAAAAAAAACTCACCGTTCTGAGACGGCTTGCTCGTGGCAGATGAGCCGGCCGTTGGCTTTGGTGCTTCTTTCAATGGAGACTTGGTAAGCTAGAGAAAATTAAGAAAGGCAAACAAGAAAAAAAAAGGAAGCGTTTATGGAAACACAATGTCTTCGAAAGTTCACTATGCGTGATGCTTTCACGTTACAATTCGTTTATTTCATCACTCCGTGTGTGTTGTATACGTTTTAAAGAGATATACATGTTATTTTATCAGTTATTTTACGTGAAAATATTTTTTTTTTGCAGAAACGTTGGTTCCAATGGCATCCAGCTGTTTATAACGACTTTAGTATACACGTATGTCGTTCGTTATCAATTGTGACAAAGTACCTGCTGCTTCGTCCCCCTCAACTGGTTGGCGGTCCCGTTTTAAGTTCTAGTTATTATTGTTATCGTTTGCGCAGAAATGATATTGCATACGGCAGCACGAGCTGCCAAAGTAGGCAATATTAACGCGTAAATGGGGGTATCAAACCAGCAAGAATACACGAAGGCAAACAAAACATGACAAAAAAAGGACTTTCAGGCCGGAACAAGTTCTCACAAATGGAAAGCAGTTAGTAAGCTGTTAGAACACCGCTCTACAAGTGATAGTAAAATAATCTCTTAAATATATAAATAGCTCATGCTTTGCTTCACCTACCGAAAAGAAATACAAATATTTGCAAAAAAAGTTGAGCCATCCCGCTCAGTGAAAGGGGATGTACAACGAAGCGGTTTGGTGCACGCGACACGACACTTAAATGACAAGAACTATCATTAGAGTCAAGAACTCGTTTATTATTTTGGTGCATTGGGCGGCATCGGCACGACGTGTTCTTATCGCCAGGATCTCGAGGAGCTCCTTAAAGGGCCACTCACCAGGCCCCATACCAAATCTTAGTTAGACAGTAGATGTTGTTGGATGTCCGATGAGGAACATTTTGCCACAAAAATTTTTCGAATCGGTTCATCCCGAGCGGAGAAAACATGTTTTCTGAAGCGGCGCGAAAAGGAGGGTGAGAGGAGGCGAGCTCGAAACCCTTGCCGCTCCTCCGCGTAGCCTTCGCAAGCCAAATCTCTTCCCCGCTCTCTTCGGCATACGACCAAGAGGTGACGTGCGCGTGACGTGCCCGAACAAGTCCACCCCCGAGCACGCGAGCGGCGTTGCTTTGTTGACCAGCGTTATTTTGTGGTCTTCTGCCTGTTTCTGCTGGATGGTTTGGAAACGCTGGCTTAGACGCGGTAGAGTTGATAAGCACAATGAGTGCGCGAACGCGTAGGAGCGTTCCACGGCGGTCGTCGGTGGTGGTGGTGGTGGTGGTAAAAAACATTTATTTCAGAAAAAGTTTACTAGAGAGTGCCGACGTGGCCCATCGGCGTGCTAGAGTGGCAAGACCCTATTCCGGGACGCCAGTGGAGCTGGAAGCTGCCCGTGCGCGCTCCACCAAGGAGCGTTGTGCAGCCAAGGTAGAGCAGCCGAGCAGGTGCTCCTCCCAAGCCTCTCTAGTTGGGATAGGAAAAGGGGATGAGAAAGGGACGGGATTAACTGGGCACGATGCTACGACGTGATATGTGTCGGCGAGCACATGACAGGTCGAGCAGGTGCCATTGATTTCCGGCAAAAAGTGCCTGGCGACCGCCGGACTGATAAAGGCGTTCGTCTGCAGGCGGCGTAGCAGTCGTTCGTCCGCTTTCTCCAAACCGCGTGCGGGGTCCGGGTAGAGGCGGCGCGAAGCCCGGTAATAAGCCAAAATTTCGCGAAAGCGCGTCAGGTTGGTATTGCAAGATTCCGTCTCGGGACATGGAGGGGCAACGGCCCGGACAGGAGAAGCGCGGGCAGCGGCATTTGCCGCCTCGTTGCCGGGCAGGCCCGAGTGGCCTGGGGTCCACACTATACGAATGGGATGAGGGTTAAAGCGCCAAGAGGCTGCCTGTAGTAGGCTAGCCGCCAGCGGAGCAATGGAACCCTGAAGGTACTTAGAACAGGCCGAGCGCGAGTCCGTCAGGATGGTGCGTGAGGCAGGGTGAGAGGCGGCCAAAGCTATGGCAACCTCTTCAGCGTGCGTTACTGTGTCTGCTCGAAAGGAGAGGCCATCTACGTGTTTGCCCTCTGTAATCACGGCAGCCGTGAAGTGACCCGACGGGGAAGGACCCGAGACGTCCACGTAGAAAACACCAGGACGATCGGAGTGTCGCGTATGAAGGGCCGCGGCGCGTGCTAGTCTACGGCCAGGATGGAGGTCAGGGTTCATATTACGGGGTAGAGGTTCCACCCATAGCTTTTGACACCAGAGCTCTGGTACCGGCTGCAGAGGGTCTTGGTCAGATATCGGGTTAAGGCCAAGTCTGTGTAGAAGACGGCGCCCTGAAGGCGTCTGTGACAGTCGATTGATTTGGTTAACGCGATGAGCTTCGCGCATCTCTGCAAAGGTGTTGTGTACCCCCAGAGCCGTGAATCGGCTGTTGGAAGTTGCAATAGGTAGGTCCAGAGCGCGTTTGTATACTGAACGAAGAAAGACGTCCAGCTGGTGCTCGTGTCGACGACGCAGGCGAAGGTAAGGCAAGGCGTAGAGGACGCGACTGGTCACAAACGCGTGGGCCAATCGGAGGGACTCAGACCCGCGGAGGCCACCGCGCTTGGTAGAAACTCGCCGTATCATGCGGCTCACCTGTTAGCTGGTGCGTCTGAGGCCTGCTATTGTGCCCTTTGGATCCAAGGACGATGTGAGGTGAAGGCCAAGAACCCGAATATTTTGCACTGACGGGACGGGCCCGGACGGAAGAAAAATTTGAGGCGGCGGTAGCGGAGAGACTGAAAGAAGAGCCGATTTAGCTGGAGAGCACTCCAGGCCGCATGAACCTGCGTAGGTGTCCACCAGAAGGGCAGCCTTTTGCAGGCGTTCTTCGATTTGCGCTAAGGAGCCGGTGTTGGTCCAGATTGTGATATCGTCCGCATATAGTGCGTGTTGTATTCCCTCGAACTCGCTTAGAAGAGAGGGGAGGTTCATCATCGCCAGGTTAAAAAGCAGAGGAGACAGGACTGCCCCTTGAGGTGTACCGCGCGTGCCTAATAAGTACGGGCCGTGTTCGGTAGAATTAAGGCGAATGAAGGCGGTGCGATGTGATAGAAAGGCGCGAATGTAGTTGAAAGTCTTCTGCCCGCAGTTTGTGGTAGACAGGTTAGTGAGTATAGTGCTGTGCTTGACGTTGTCGAACGCCCCGCGGAGATCGAGAGCGAGCACGGCTTTATCGTTATGGCGCATAGTAGTCGGCTCTATGATATCGTGTTGAAGCTGGAGCAGGACGTCCTGCGCCGACAGATGCGGGCGAAAGCCAAACATCGTGTCGGCAAAGGTGCTCCTGGCCTCCAAGTAGGCGGAAAGGCGTTCGCGAACCATGGTTTCCATTAGTTTGCCTGCGCAAGACGTAAGTGAGATAGGTCTCAGTGCCTCAATACTAACGGACTTTGCCGATTTGGGAATGAATGTCACGACCGATGTGGTCCATTCCGTTGGAAGCGGAGAACCGTCCCATATCGAATTTATAAGCTGGAGTAGCGAGAGGTGTGCTTGGTCGGGAAGATTTGCCAGGAGCGATACTGTGATTCCGTCGCGTCCAGGGGCCGTGCCCCGTCGCATTTTCGTGAGTGCAAATCGTAAATCAGAAAGCGTGTATGGGGCGTCGAGGTCGGTGTTAGGGGCGCCGGAATACGTATATGCTGGGCCTGCGGGATCAATTGTGCGGCAGATGTAGCGGTCACAAAGTTCTCGCGCGAGTTCATCCGTAGTGCCCTGAAATGCATGCAGAACACGGTGGAGCTGGCGTTGCGTTTCTCCCCTGGTGGTGGAGGGATCTAGAAGGCTTCTAAAGAGTCGCCACGCACTCTTAGAGCTCATCTGGTTTGCAGCCTTCGAACAGGTGTCTGCCCAGTTAGCATCGGAAAGTTGTGCGGAGTATGCGGCCGCCTCTGCAGTGAGCGCCTCAATGCGAGCGCGAAGTTTCCGATTAAGTTTGTTGCGTTTCCAGCGCCTTATGAGCCCGCGGCGAGCGTGCCAAATATGTAGGAGGTGTGGATCGACTGCAGGAGTCAAATTAGAGGTTGCAAGGGTGCGAGTGTTCGCTTGTTTCATATGAAGAGCGTATGATGCCCACGCTGCATATTCGGTCGAGGAGAGGCCGGCGGGGAATGGTTGCATTCTGAACTGAGTCCAATCGGTGAGACGGGCTTGGCCCCAGTGTTGGCGCATTTTCTGCCGCGGTGTGAACGAAATGCGGAGTAAAAAGTGATCGCTGCCTAGGTTTTCGCCTAAATTTTCCCATGTAGCATCGCGGATGTGACGGGTGAGGGAGAGGTCGGGGCATGTGTCTCGCGTGACCGAGTTGCCGGAACGTGTGGGTTGTGCCGGATCGGTAAGAAGCGTCAGGCTCAGCGAGGAAATGAGCTCCTTGAGTTCTCTGCCCCGGGCCTTCTCGTAGTGGTAACCCCAGTGAGGGCTGGGGGCATTAAAGTCCCCGACAATCACCAGTGGTTGTCGGGCCGCTATACGCAGTGCCTGATGGAAGAGATGCGCAAACGAAGTTCTCGAAAGGCGAGGGGGACAGTACACGTTTAAGATATGTATTGATGGTTGGCCCCTCCGCTGAGACAGCACTGATATCATGCAGTAGTCGTAAGGAAGATCCAGATCGAGGTCGATCTGTATCGCCGTGTAAGCTTTATGCACGAGGAGGCATGTGGTGGTGCCGCCTACATAGGAGCAGTATCCAGAAAGGGATGGAGCAGGGCCAGATTCTTGGAGCGCCAAGACGGCCGGCTGAGAGCCAAGTGAGCTGAGGAAAAGGGAAAGATGTGAACGCTTTCGCCTGTTCCCGAAGCCTCCAGGGTTCCACTGTATGATCTCGAATTTAGACGCAATGTTTGAACGGAACATACGATTGGTAGCCATCGTGACTGTCCTAGGTTTTATATTTGGTCCTCCATGTCCCGCTCGGAATCCTCAGAGGCAGGGAGGGGCACGGAGGCCGGATTGTCCGACGGCGGGGTGGTGGTAGCCACCTTACGACGACGCCGTGGAGCTGTACCCTCACTGCTCACCGAGCAGGAGCGGGAACGCGATGCCTTGGGTTGAAACTGGGTGATTGCCCAGGCTTGAATAGCCTGGGTAACCTCTACTACTATGCGTTGGACCGAGAAGCTGGTGAGGAGGTGATTAATCGAAGCTTCGACGCGCGTGAGGCGTTCCTCAACGCGCGGGGTGTGCTCTTCGCTAGGGAGAGTTTGGTTAGCGGGCAAGAGAACCTGAGGTGCCCCAGGAGCCTCAAGAGCTTCTGGAGTAGATGTGGCACCGGTTCCGAGCGCTGGAGTACACATGGCTGCTTGAACCGGCGGTTTAATGGGAGTGGACTTAGCGTGAGGACTAAGCTTGGACGTAGCTGGCGTAGCCGCCTGGACAGAGGAGGCAATACCGGATGGCCTTGCAGTACACTGTTGTTGGGGTTGAAGTCGCTTATTTAAGAGTTCGAGTTGTTTAGTTAAAAGAGAATTTTGCTTTTGAAGTGCCGCAACTTGCTGGCGAAGGGCCGCAAGTTCGGGAGAAGGAGGATCGACAGAAGGGGGTGAGAGAGGCTTAGAAGCAGCTTTCCCTGCCCAACTGCTCACCTGAGGTACCGCCGCTGGTGCTTCGAGCGGTGGGAATGCTTGAGAGTCGGCGTGGAGTGGTGGAGCCGAATGATGCAGGTTTGTGCTGCTGTCTGGCTGTGACGAACATGAGGTGGTCCCTCGAGGAGATGTTGAGGGCTGCTTGTGTTTCCGATATTTTCGGTATTTTGCCGTGCAGCCACTGGTCCCAGTCTCATGGGCGCCGTGGCAGAGGAGGCACTTGGGGTGGCAGTCGTGGGCATTGAGACCTGCAGGTGCGGGGGTTCCACATTTGGCACACTGGGTTGGAGCGGCGTGAGGGCACTGAGGTGGTCGATGACCGATGGTACCGCACTTGGTGCATACAGGGACCGTTTTCTTGTAGGCGCGGATATACGTCGCCACGCAGTGGTAGAAGAGGAAACGGGGTAACTTCGTGCCCTCGAAAGTCACCACCGCCGCCGCGGAATCTCCGAGTTTGCGGACCGCAAGGATAGTACCTTGAGGCCAATACAGTTCAGACTTTATCTTTTCCGGGCTTTCAGCAGGGTTTACATTGATGACGCCCTTGCATGTATCCCCTGGTGCCTTGGCGTGGCCTCGAACGGGTAGCTGCTGATCCCCCACTTGCAGCTGGAAGTCCCCGAGGAGTCGCTGTGCCATAGGCAAAATGGTGGTGCTACAGACCAAGATGTTCTGTTCCCAGATTGGCCACACTTGAATTTGCGAGGTAGTCCGGTCGCCGAGGTAGCTGCGGATGGCGTCGCCCGCGCGATCGGCCGGGACAAATGTGCGTAGCTCGCAGGGAACGCGAGGAGTTTGACGCGGACGCCACTTGCGTTGCTTCGCTGGCTGCGAGGACGGAGCAGAGGTAGGCACACCGCCGGAGGGATGGCGCGCCGGCGTTCCTTGCAAGGCTGGGGAATGGTGGCCCGCCGTGGCGTCTCGTTGTTGTTGAGACGCAGACTTCGATTTCGCTTGCTTGCGTTGCCACAGTTTCACCATGTCGTCGAGGTATTCATCTTCTGATGGCATAGTGTTTTCGGAGGATGAAATCTCCATGGACAGCATTTGGCTTGAGGTAGGATCATAGCCCGTAACCACGTTAGCGGCCGCCATCGCCGGGCTGAGAGCCCTTAGCGAGGCGGCGTTGTAGCCGGGAGTGAAGGACGTCCCTCAAGTTGTCAAAACTGGACCCACCTGGACGAAGGTGTTGTCTAGGCGAAGCGGAGAACTTGGCGGTGACAATAAATCCAAGTTTCAGGGGTACCAAGGCGGATGTCCGCAGAAATAGCAGAAAATCTACGGAGGCGATGTGGAGTGCGTCCGTCACCATCGAGCGCTCGCAGCGCCCCCCCGGTCTTCGGCTGAATGCGCTGACCGCGGGTACACGAACGCATGTGAAACGCCGACACATTAGCTTCGCATCTCGTTGCAATTCACGGGAAACAAATAAAAAAAGACACTCACATTCCCTTATTGTGTCTCATTATTTATCTAGAGCTTTATTATTCTCTTCAAGCAACAAATTACATAAACTACACAGGCCTTGTTAAATAATTTTCGCCATGCCACGTGCCACTGTCTGCAACGTCACAGCATAGTCGTCTACGTAGAGGACCAACTTCACTGCATTGCCATTCGTACGTAGGGCCATTCATACGCGCACGTCATGCCCTCATTCTCCGCGCGCGCCAGCGGAAGGGAAGGGGAGCAGCGTTCATCTTGAAATTTGACCATTTTTTGTGGCGCGTAGCGTGACCAATTTTGGCAGACATGATCATGAACGCCTTGTCTACGCATTGCGCTTGTCAGCTCAAAATTGTCAAACCTGGTGAGTGGCCCTTTAAAAGGTGTATCGCGTGACCACGTAAACGCATGTTAGGCATCAAAATATCTCAGATTACTGCATAGATGTACTTCAAAAGGACGCTGCATATGTAGACAAATTGACCACTTGAGCGGTCTATCATAAAGCATTCACCATTTTGGTCGATTCGTGTCCCTCCAGTTCGTCAAGGATGTCCGACATGTCGACGAAGCCGTCAGCGTTCTCCATTGTCAGGCGGACGTTTATGCTGTGTAAAAAAGAAAGAAGCACGTATACGTAAGAGTAAATAAAAAGTTAGTGATAAAAGACATGAAATAACTGTGATGAACACTTCGCTCAAATGTTCGGAATGAAGTAGACACCGTTCAGGTTAGTGCAGTTAAACCTACAATCTAAAACGAAGTTTTCACTAGTAATTGCGCAGTTACCCCGAAAAGGGTGCTTTGCTACCCCAAAAGACGAAATTATTGCAAAAGTTTTCACACGGCAAGGAGGGGCGCTGTTCTCCTTGTGAAGGAGAACAGATCTATGATAATACTCTAGGTAGTTCTCTACTGTTTGAGGCAAGGACGGGAGTACTGCGAACCAAGACATATCCAGCCAAATACGAAGGGGTAGACACAGTATGCAGCGCGTGTGGAGAGGAAGAAGAAACTGCCGAACACTTGATAATGTTCTGTAAAGGGCTTCACTCTATAGTTCAGGATGATGGCGCAGAGTTTTTCAAAGCACTGGGGTTTAGGGACCGAGAGGGCAAAATAGACTTTAAGCGGGTAGACTTAACTAGAAGGAGGTTATCTGATTGGTGGCTAAAGTCAAGGCACGAGTGAAAATAAAACTCTTCACTGCAAAGTACGAATCCTCAAACACACTTTTTAAGGGAAAAAAATAAATATAGTTTTTGGTTCATTAGGTATTACGGCTTGGTGGCGCTAGCCACCGCCTGATCTAAAGGGTAGAGCCATATCCATCCATCCATCCAGGAGGAAAGCGCCCTGTTCTGGGAGTAACTGCAGAAATGTTCGCACCGTGTGCAAACGAACCATCGGTGCCTACATGAGCCTGTTTTCTTCCAGACGGAGCCATGGCGCGGTGTTGTAGTGGTTAGTGTATACGCGTATGCCGCGGCTGAGTGCTCATGAGTTGTTTACTCCTAATTTTCTGAAATTTATTTCCGAATGTGATGCTTGCGCATTGATTCCGAATGTGATACTTGCGCACTGAGCACCTGACAATCAATAAAGCACAGTATGGGTTTCAAAGGGGTAAGTATAAGGAGTCGGCGCTATTAGATACGAAAGAGGAGATATTAAAAAAAAACATGGAAAACACAACCTACGCCACAGGTCTTTTCATTGACTTGAAGAAGGCCTTTGACACAGTCAAACACGATATTCCGATATCTAAGTTGCATGATTATGGTGTAATGGGCGTGGCAGCTAAACTAATAAAAAGTTATCTTACCGAAAGAAAACAATATGTTAAGGTGGGTAACCTTGTTTCCCCAATGAAAACTGTAAAAAAATGATGTACCGCAAGGTTCAATCCTTGGACCGTTACTATTTATAACATATATTAATCATCTGTGTGATATTCCACGATCCCCAAAATTAATTATTTACGCTGACGACACCAGCATATTTTTACAGGTAGAATACTCATGCAAGAAACTGAAGCAAATGATTACTTACTCAAATTAGAAAAATGGCTTCATCAAAATAAGCTCATGCTTAATATATCTAAAAGTAAGTACATAGTATTCGAGTCTATCAACAAGCGCTACGAGGACGACATTAACATCTTTTTCAGAAAGCAACGGCTGGAGCAGGTTAAATCACAAAAATTCCTCGGAGTGTCGTTCCAAGAAAATTTGTCTTGGAATACCCATGTTGATAGTCTCACATCCGAACTAAGTAAGACTGTTGGGTGTATATTTAAAATAAATCCACTTATACTAATTTAGCTTAAAAACGATATACTACGCTCTTTTTTATTCGCGTTAGAATTATAGTATGCTAGTATGGGGCACTACAAGTGAGAAGAATTTAAATAAACTAGGCTTACAGAAAAAAGTTATCCGCCTATTCGATTATTATTATGGCAACCCAAGGGAGATGCCTAGCGGTCCACTATTTATAAAACATGGTATACTCAAAGCAAAACAGGTGTATGAATACAAGCTATTACTTTACATTTATAAAAAACTCCACACTATTACGGCACAGGAAGGCGCACTCATATACTCGCTCCGTAGGCAACAAATTCGCGTTCCTGCTACTAGGACTGGATATGGTAGAACCCTAATTGCATACCGCGCCCCACAGCTTATAAATCATTTAGGTGAGCAATTAAATTTTAACCTCTCATTAACGCAATTCAAATATCACATAAAACATCTCCTCATTAATTGAGTATAATGAAGATCATGTTTCCAATAAACTTCTCGCTAGGTTCCACATATACTCTCACCTTTAGGTACAAAACTCTTGTATATACAGTGGTATTTACGTACATATGGGTCGATGTATGTACGAATATATGAGTGTATTGTATGAATATATCAATATGTAAGTGCGTGTCTTTTTGGATATGTAATGAAAAAAGCCTCGATGTCTGATTCTGTGTGTCTATGCAGCCTATTTTTTGTATTTATATGTCACCTATTTTTGCTTTTATGCTATTTCTGTGTTCTGTTATTATGCTGCTCCTTGTATTGTTATAATTATTATTCAATGTAGCACTGTTTGCTGAACTTTTATCATTTCGCGTAGCGAAGCCACGTCAGGCCGAATGGCCTTTAGCTTCGCTTCGTTTTTCTGTATCTCACCAGAAATAAAATCTGTTCATTCATTCATTCATTCATTCATTCATTCATTCATTCATTCATTCATTCATTCATTCATTCATTGTACATCTAATCACATGCCTGCGCGCAATTCAACATTCTGGTTAAGTAAACCACAATCGAATTTTTCTTTTGCGAAAAATAGCTGTGTCTCCCTTGAGGAGTAGCCGCGAGAGTGGGGAGTAACTCTGCAGTTACTCCCAAAATGGTGCAATGGATGAGACAGGTTAGTTACTCCTGTAAAGGAGCAACCTCGATACCCTGCACTCTCCTTTACTTTTCAGAGTGTAAACATGCTGCTGGTGTTATATAACGAATATCGCACGCAGCAAACCATGAAAGAGAACGCAAACAAATGATGATGATGATGATGATGACGATGATCATTTTGATTTGCTTGCACCCGCCCACAAAGGGGGATAGGCCAAGAACCGGGCGGCAGGACCATCAAGTGAATTAGTTATGAGTCAGGCATTCAGGTAGTCTCGTAGCCGAAAATATTAATAACAATGGACTAACAAGGTAATCTTTTTGTTGCCGTAATGTACGCACACACAGCAGAGCGAACCTCCCTGTGGCTATATATAACCTAATGTAATCCCTCCAAAGAATAAAATTACTGCCTTGTTTATTTTTAAACCTAGCTTCTTAATTGGTTCGACCGGGTATTCTTTTCTTTGATAAGGATATCGGTGACAGTATAAAAAGGAACAATCTATTGTTTTTAATTCATTTCAAAAGAACATAACGGAGATGCTGTATGTCCAGCTTTATGTAAGTGATAATTTAGGTGCGGAATTCTGCATTGTAATCTGGTGATTGTAGTTTCTAACTGCCGAGATACACACCATTGTTTGTTCCAGCAAAATGTTTGACTGTCTACGAACTCTTTGACTTTATCCAATGATATTTTTTTCTGTTTCCTTGTGCAAACAAGCATTTCTATATCTGAGCGATGTTACATAAGCGAAATCAGGTAAAATAGGTAAGAGTGGTGCGCTTAAAGATGCTTTGGCTAACGAGCCTGCCATCTCATTCGGATAAATCCCGCAGTGGCCAGGTACTCATAGCAAGCGGAATTTTTCAGGTTTGCTGGTAATAGACTACTAATCATACTCAGTAATGTCAAATTTTTTGCCGCAGATAGTGCAGTGCATAGAGATGATCAGTAAGTATGACTGGAGCTTCTGATTCGCTTGCAGGAAGTTTACGAAGTGCTAGAATTATAGCAAATAATTCAGCGATGAGTATAGACGTATAATCTGGCAATCGAACTGAAAAAGGACCAGTCGAGAAAAGATGGAAAATCAACCCATTTCATTGCGCGCGCGCGCGCGTGTGTGTGTGTGTGTGTGTGTGTGTGTGTGTGTGTGTGTGTGTGTGTGTGTGTGTGTGTGTGTGTGTGTGTCTTTGCTTTCGTATTCAATCTATTGTCATTGTGCCGTTATTTAACTCGGGTTTTGTTTCGCCATATTGTCATTTTGAACTAAACAGCGACGGCGTATTATACATCCGCCACACGAGCCTATGTATACTGAAGTTGAGAATCACAAATCTCGCAGCAGAGAAAATCACACGCTTGGCCAGTGTCCAGAAACGCCATGCCACACTGCAGTACTGTCAAACGAGCACTGATTCAGTTATTTAGTTTCTTGCGGCGTTCAAGTTTCTTACGTGCACTGAAATCTCGAAAACGGTACGCGCGCACTTTATAAAGCCGAAACGCAATGTTTAACTGTCAAGTATATACGATGTGTGGGAAATTCCGTTTGCCGCAGTTTGTGCGTCATGCAGGCGTATCTACACAGTGCTACGGTAGACGAAATACTCCTCGCTAGGTCTAATATCACTCGAATAATCATCGATCCGCTTTGCTATTAATTATCACTAGTTAGGCACGCGTTTGCGCCACGTCAGCGACATGGCTCCGTCTTCCTATTCTTATGAATACTAGAACACTGCCACCTGAGTTCTATTACACTGTTGATGTTATTACTGGCCCTAGAATTTTTCTTTTTTTTTTACACCGGCGTTCTGAAGCAAAGATACGTATACCCCCGTATTCACAAACGCTCCTAGACTCGACTTTCACCCTTCACTTGACAGAGTTGAGCACTGCGCCACAGCTCGCCTCAAAATGACGCTGCACTACTCGAGAATCGCAGCACATTATTGCTGATATGCACGTGACTTGCCGTGCCTAGAGAAGGCGCTCCGATCGGCTTTCTCAAGTGAAGGAGAAGCGTTGAGTGAAGGGAGGTTCTAGAATACGGGGGTTAATCTCCAACGCGGAGAGCACTGCGCTCGATTACATGGCGTCAGGCGCAGCTGTGGGCAGATGCATTTGTATACCGATGCGCACGCATTGAGTGTCGGTGCCAAAGTCGAAAGCCCAAGAAAAC